TAATAGGATACTAGAGGTTGCCCCATCCCCTAATAGGTTTCAATCAGAGGTGGATCCATCCTTCAGGTAGCCCCATCCTTGATAGGATTATGTTAGAGGTCGCTCCATCTCTGAGAGGATTCTATTAAAGAGGTGCATCGAATCCAAATTTAAGAGAATACGATTGAGATGGGTTAGCCCCTGATAGAACTCTATGATCTATTATAGGTTGCCCCATCCCTATTAGGATTCCGAGAGAGAAAGAGAAAGGGAGAGCGAGATAGAGAAAGAGGAACAGAGAGAGAGAGAGAGAGAAAGAGAACAAAAAAAGAGAGAAAGAGAGAGAGAGAGAAAGAGAGAGAGACACACAGAGAGAGAAAGCTCCCAAACAGTCCCAGATTTCCCCTCCACCCTCCTCCTCCTCCTCCTCCTCCCTCCTCGTCCTCCTCCTCGTCCTCCTCCTCCTCCTCCCTCCTCGTCCTCGCCCTCGTCCTGGTCCTCGTCCTCCTCCTCCTCCTCCTCCTCCTCCTCCTCCTCCTCCTCCTACTCAACCTCCTCCTCCTCCGCGCCGACATCAACTCAACTTTAGGGCGACGAGATTTGCACATGTCCAGCGGCGGTGAGCCCGTACAAATCTCGTCGCCCCAAACTTCCGGCGCTGTTTGGATCGGGGGAGGCGACATCAGAGCAAGGGGACCCAGTGGTCTTACACCGTCTCTGGGCCCGTGGGTCACAACATTCGTTTTGACCCCCCCCCCCGGTAGCATGTGCGTTTTTCCATCGACGTGCCGTTCCCAGGGCTCGCGCGCTGCTTTCGTAAACGACCACCTAACGCAACTACAACAAGAACAACAACGGCTCCCGCCTGATACTTCCTCACAACCTGTTGACAGACATGGACTTCAAAGCGACGAGATCTGTACCTGTCCACCGCCGATTGCCAGGGCCGCCCGGAGTCTGCCTGATTGTTAAATATTCACTCCTGAAGAACAATTCGTGTCGATCCTCTCCCTCAGTTAGCATGTGTGTTTTGCTCCGTTCAAGTGCGCCTCCCAGGCTTCGCACACGGCTTGTTACTTAAAAAGGAAGAGCTTGCGCATCGTTTTAGGCCCCTGCCCTCCGTACTACAACAACAACGGCTCTCGCCTGATACGTCCTCACGAATGATTGAACAATCCGCTCCGCTCGAAATTTCCATGCGATCTATCCAGGAATCGCGCTCTCGCCTACGAACTCCTTACAACTCATTCACGCATCGCTCTCTCGGTTCTTTGGACCCGCGCTCTGGATCGGGAATTCCTCATATTCTCATCCAGAAAGCGCTCTCGCCCGAGACTTCCTTGCCATCCCCTCTTGCCACGCACGCCCTCTCGCCCTCCATCTCTCCTTCCCTCTTGCCCCCATTCCCTGCTCCCTCCCTTTCCCCACTCCCTTCCTCCTCGCTCTCTCCCTTTTCCTTTGCTGATGTTTTCCCCTTACTTAATGGCTGCGCAAATTACACGTGACAGGCGGCAAGGAACATATACCCCCCAAAACGGGCACGATCGAAGGCGAGGAGGGCGGGTATCGAGGGCTTGGGAGATACATGTTGGATGGCACGCGAGCATACGAGAACAAACAGTAGTTAAACAATTGCTGTTCTTGTTGAATTCTTACCTCGCAAGAACAATTATTGTTGATCCTCTCCCTCTCAAGGTATGTGTTTTTCAATTGAAATGCCCTTCACGGGGATCGCACCCAATTCTTTACAATAAAAAATCTTCAGCCTCAGAGTGTGCCCCTGAACCCCAAAATACAACAACAACAACAACAACAACAACAACAACAACAACAACAACAACAACAACAACAACAACGGTTACCGCCTGATGCTACTCCGCAGTGTATTCAAAGCCGCGCTATCGCTCGGGACCTCCTCACCATTCTAGACGTTTCTTGCAACCCCGCCAGCCCATCCAGAAACGATGACCAGGCGAGTTGAGCATGCAGTGGAACAAAAGGCTGGGGAGCAGTCGTACTCCAAGAGAGAGGGGGGGGGAAATGGAGGAGTAATCCGAGGAGGAGGAGGAGGAAGAGGGGGAGGGGGAGGAGGAGAAATCGGCGCATGAGGGAGAGGAGAAGGACGAGGGCGAGCAGAAAGGCCAGAGGCCTCTTGGATACCTCTCGACGTCTCTTCGGATGTCTCTTGAGAGTTTCTTGGAATCCCTTTGAGGCGTCTTGAGGGCCTCTTGGCGGTCCCAGGGGCCGCTTGGAGCGTCGTGTGTGCCTTGGGGGAACCTCTTGGGACCTCTTGAGGGTCTCTTGGGGGCCTCTCGGGGGCCTCTTGGGGCCTCCTGGGCGCCTCTTGGGAGCCTTGGGGGCTATCTTGGAGGCCTTGGATCAAAGAAGAGGGGGGCTCCAATTACACCGTATTTTCCAGGAGACCAAACTTGGCCCCGAACCTATGCAGAATCAATGCTGTGTGCCTCCTCGCCGAGGCCATCGTGGACGCCGGGGCGCCCCGTCCGGGTCCAGGGGTAGGGGGTACAGTCGGGGCGTTGACCTAAGGAACCCTAAATAAGGAACGAGGCCCCTATTTCCCACAAGTTAAACTTCGATTTCCTATCGAAAACACAAGGGAAACCTGAGGCAAGCTGCGAAACATTTAAGGAACACGGAGCCCCTCCCCAACCAAAAGGGTTCCTTCTTCAGGGCCCCGACTGTATGGGGGAGGGGTCAAGACACCCTCCCCGCCCGCAAGCCGTCTCGCTCACAGCCACCCGCCCTCCCGACACAGAAGTAGCACCCAGGCCGCAGCGTGTTCGGCGCCGCTGCGGGCGGTAGTCTCTGGATGGACAGCCAGTGGGAACCAGAACAGACCCCATGTGCGCAGCGCTGGGGCGAGATGCGCCAGGCGTGCCAGGCGCGCCGGGTACGCCACGCAACCCCGTGGCCCAAGCGTGCCGGGCACACTTTGTGCGCCAAATGCGCCACGTGATCCACGTGCGCCATGTGTGCCGCATGCTCCAGCCGTGCCAGGTGCGCCACGTTCGGGGCACGCGCAGAGTGTGCCGAGTGCGCCTGCGCACGTGGCAGTGCACATCGGGAAACGCGTCGGCCCCCACCTCCCTCATCGAGAACCAGTCGCCGGGACGCGCGTGCGGCCTGCCTCTGCCGCGCTGCGGCGTAACAAGTGGGAAACGAGTGCGCAATCGCGGCGGGGTGGCCATCATAGCGTTGTTTGTGGATGCCATGACATTTGGCACTCTCACAATCCTATCATTGAATTCAAAATGTGTTTGACAAGTGTAAAACATGTTCTAAACATGTTTCGAACATGTGTTGTACATATTTAAAACATATTTGAAACATGTTTTGGACATCTGGAAATTATTTGGCAGCATGCTTCCTCTCCATTAATCGACTTCCACAATCATAGCGTCTGGTAGGCCTGCACATAGCAAGCAATATACCAGCACCCTCGCCGTCCCAGTCGAACACCAATGCGCAGTGATCGCAGGGTGCCTGCGCGTGATCCAGATTCTGTCTCGAAATGCCTTCCGTATTGTTTTTTGTAAGGGGTGCTGGCCCTGCGCGCAGCAGGCAACATGCGGGCACCCGCGCCGTCCCTGGCAACAAAAAACCATGCAAAGTGATCGCGCCCCCCCCAATCATGACTCAAGGCTCTGCCCCAAAGTGGACTCTGCATGGTTTTTGTTGCAGGGATGGTTGGGGGGGGGGTCCCCGATGGGCCCTGCTTGGCTGCCAGTCGCCTGGGGGACGGGGCGTTTATCGGTGGTAGACCCCGCGAAATGCTTAAGAAATCATGGGTTAAGAAATTCATAGTCTCAGAACTTGAATAAAAACCCAACATTTCCATTCAAATCTTAGGATTTACATTGAAACGTTAAGAATAATCGAGACTCTGGCCGAAAATTGAGTTTTCTTAAGCATCGCCCGAGGTGTAGACCCTGGAACCCGGAGGCTCGAACCCCGAACCTCCGGAGGCTAGGGCTTCGCGCCTCGGAGCTTGGGCCGCCTCGCGGGAGGCCCCGGGTCGGGACGAGAGCCCTACAAAACTATGCAGGCGAGGCCGCTCCAGATTCCGTGAAGGCAGGGAGCCCCGCACATGGCCCGCGGGGCTCACGAGGAGAAGAAGAATGAGGGGGGAGGGGGAGGAGGGGGGGAACAGTGGACAACGAACCACGATCATACAGTCGGGGCCTTGACCTAAGGAACCCTGAATAAGGAACTAGGCCCCTATTTTCCATAAGTTGAACTTCGATTTCCTATCGAAAACCTTGGGAAAACCTGAGGCAAGCTGCGAAACAATCAAGGAACACGGAGCCCCTCCCCAACGAAAAGGGTTCCTTCTTCAAGACCTCTACTGTAACGTCAACCAGGGCTTCAACCAGCTACTCGCTGCAGGAGGAGTGCAGGCGCACGAACGCACAGGCCCAACCAACACCCCTTGGGCCCCCCCCCCGCAAGAAGGGGGGGCTGAGCGGCACCTGCCCTAAGGTGGCGCCTCTCTCCAAGAAGGAGAGCGGGCACGCTAGGAGCAGACGTGACCTGCTCCCGGCCGGCTCCTGGGCGCGCCCCTTCCCCTTCTTCCTCCTCCTCTCCCCCCCCCATGGACCTTCGCCCCTTCTTCCTCTTCCTCCTTCCCCTTCCTTCCTCTCCCCTTCCCCTTCTTCCTCTTCCTCCTCTCCTCTTCCTTCCCCTTCCTTCCTTCCTCTCCTCTTCCTCCTCCTTCCTACCCTTCCCCATTCCCCTTCCTCCTCTTCCTCCTCCTCCTCCCCCCCCCCATGGACCTTCGCCCCTGCCTCGTCCCTGGCCCTGGATCTCCTCCTCTCCCTCGGGCTCGGGTATCTCGAAGCAGACTTGGGAGTCCTCCTCCTCCTCTTCCTCCTCCTCCTTTTCCTCCTCCTCCTCCTCTTCCTCTTCCTCCTCCTCCTCCTCCTCCTCCGTCTCCTCGTCCTCCTCCTCCCCCCCCCTGCCGAATGCCACGTGACTGAGATGGCCGCAGCCGCGGGCATCGAGCACGACAAAGATGTGCAGGAGCTGAGGCAGCCCACCAAGGACGAGGCGGAGGAAGAGGAACGAAGGAGAAGGAAACAGGGTGGAGAGCAAGGAGAATGAGGCACAAGCTTTCGGAAAGCTCGAGAGAAAGTGCGGCAGTGCTGTCGCCGCTTCCTCTTGGCGGCCAGGGCAGGAAAAGAGAACGCTGACCGCGCCAAGCCGAACGTGGTCTTACGCCACGGCGGCGAATACGCGATTGGCATGCTCCCGACTCAAAACGAGCAAACACATACGGTTAATCCACCAGCGTGCCGCGGGCGCTGGGTGGAGTATCCTCGGGCCCCCTCGAACTCGCTGTGCTGAATACTCCTCCTGCTCTTCAGAGGGCCCACTTCCTGGAGTCCCGGGCGTTCCTGGGCCGCTTTTTGGGATCTTCGCGTGACTCTTCCAGCAGTAGCGAAGATGTAAAAACAGCGCCTGCAGTGACTCGTTTTCCGTCTTCGGCCCCATGGGGGGGGAGCTCGAAGTGGCCCCGCAAGCCCTCTTGTGCCCATGTGGCCCCCGAGACCGCCAGCAGGTCCAACAGGCCTCCAAGACCCCCCAAGAGGCCCACACATTCCACCACCGTGCCCCCTGTCACGTTGAGGCGTGGAAGAATGCCACGGTCTGTCTGGTAGGATGTTTTAAGCCTTGCGTGCGTAGCCCCTTCTTTCCGAAGCCACTTCCCTCGCATCCGCCGGCGATGGTGCACCTCCAGCATAGCAGCTAATGCCTGACCTCCCCTTCCACGCGTGCCCGCTCGAGGATGGTGCACTTCCCACACGGCAGCTAATGCCTGAACCCTCCTTCCACGCGTGCCCGCTCGAGAATGGTGCATTTCCCACACGGCAGCTAATGCCTGAACCCTCCTTCCACGCGTGCCCGCTCGAGAGTGGTGCACTTCCCGCAGTGCAGCTAATGTCTGACCATCATTCCATGCGCGCCGGCTCGAGGATTGTGCACTTCCCGCATGGCTGCTAACTCCTAGGCCCTCATCCCACGCGCACCCGCTCGAGGGTCGTGCACGCCCTGCATTCCCAGGCGCTGCTCCCGAGTGCTCCAGGGCCTCCCGAGCCAGGGTGCCTCGCTGGAAGCTGTGGGTCTGCGCCCCGAGCTTCCAAGACAGCCCGTGCAGGCAACCAAGGACACAAAGATGGCCCAATATGTCTCGAAGACGGCCCAAGATGGGCCCACGGCGGCCGAATCCGCCGGCCCCCTTGCGGGGCCACCAGGCCGCGAGAATGAGGATTGCAGCTCCCTGTTCAAGCTGCAGTTTCTAGAGTCCACTGTTACAGTCCTGCTTGCTGCTTCCTCACTGTCAATTGTTGCTTTCCGCGCGAGGGGAGGGAGCCCCAAACAGGGTTTTTTTTTAACACGCCCTGGGAGGGTTCTCAGAGTTCGTGGGGGGGCGTGGGACACGTAAAAATACACGTGATATTCGCGTCCCCGAGGCCATAATCCCTAGTAAATTACGCCAGGTTCATGTCTCTGAGGCCGAAAACTCTCTTAAATTACGCAATAGTCGCGTCCCCGAAACCATAATCCCCCGTAGACTACGCCATAGCTGCGTCCCCGAGGCCACATACCCTCGTAAATGATACAATATATTCGCGTCCCCGAAGCCATAACAATTCGTAAATTACATAATGTCCGCGCCCCCGATGCCATACACCATCGAAAATCACATAGGATTCGCGTCCCCAGAGCCATAAGCCTTTGTAAATAACACCATACTTGCGCCCCCGAGGCCACAAACCCTTGCAAATTGCACATGACTCGCGTCCCCGAGGCCATTAATCATGGTAAATTAAAATATAGTTGCGCCCCGAGGCCATAAACAATCTCAAACTATACAATATTTGCGTCCCCGAGGCCACACACCCTCGTAAATTACGCAATGTTCGCGTCCCCGAAGCCGTAAGCCATCGCAAATTACTTCATATTCGCGCCACCGAAGCCATAAACCATCGTAAAGTAATATTGGCCCTCGCGTGAAGTCCCGACATTGCTTCACGTCAGCGTCCAGACATCCCAACACAGCTCTGGCAAATCCATAAGAGAGGGGGGGCGGCGCCATGGGGGCGAAGCCCTTCCGGATATTGATTCGAGACGGCCCAAGATGTCTCCAAGAGGGCCCAAAATGGCCACAGGATGACCTCCAACATGGTCCTAAGACGCCCAAATCATTGATTTCTCTTTGGTTTTTGAATGATGTTCGCATTCTCGCCTTTTCTGGCTGCCGTCAGCTCAAGACGGCCCAAGGGGACTCCACGATGGCCCAGGAGGCATCCAGACGGCCCCAAGACTGCTCAAGAGGGTCTCCTGTGGGACCCCAGACGGCGCCAAGACGGCCCTAAGACGGCCCCCAGACACCCACCATACGGGCAAGAGGGCCCCAAGACGGCCCAAGAGAGCCCCAAGCCGGCGTAAGAGGGCCCCAAGGTGGCTTAAAAGGGCCCCAAGGGACCCCGAAGACTGCCTCACAGGAGGCCAAGGCAGCCCCAAGACGGCCCCAAGCGAGTTTCCTATCATCATCAGCATCAGCATCAGCATCAGCATCAGCATCAGCATCAGCATCAGCATCAGCATCAGCATCATCATCATCATCATCATCATCATCATCATCATCATCATCATCATCATCATCATCACCATCACCATCACCATCACCATCACCATCACCATCACCATCACCATCACCATCACCATCATCACCACCATCATCATAATCATCAGCATCAGCATCATCATCAGCGTCAGCATCATCATCAGCAGCACAATCAGGATTATTATCATCATAAGCATCATCATCATCAACATCATCATGTCCATCATTTTCATCATCATCGTCATCATCAGGAGCAGCAGCATCATCATTAGCAGTAACATAATCATGATCATCACACTCCCCGTTATCATCACCATCGTCAGCACCATCACCATCATCACCATCGTCGTTGTCGTCGTCATCACCATCATCATCAGCATCATCACCCTCATTCACCATCACCACCACCATCACCACGATCACCATCACAATCATCATCATCAGCACCAGCATGTCACGTTCACCGTCAGAGCATCATCATGAGGATCATCGTGTTCATCAGTATCATCATCAGCAGCATCACCATCAACAGCAGCATCATCATGAGCATCACCATCAGCAGCAGAAGCAATACCAGCATCATGTCATGATCATCCTCACCAGAACCATCATCATCAACATAACCACCATTGTCACAACTATCATCGTCACTATCATCATCCCCACCATCATCATGACCACCAACTTCATCATCATCACCATGACCACCACCGTCATCATAATACGCATCATCATAATCAATTTCATCAGATTCAGTATCACCATCACCACCATCCGCACTCTCAACGTCATCGTCATCGTCATCGTCATCGTCGTCATCATCAGGAGCAGCAGCAGCAGCATCAGTATCACCATAATCATAACCAGCATTACCACCATCATCATCATCATCATCAGCAGCATCCTCATCACCATCACCATGATCATGATCATCATCACCATTGTCATCATCACCATCATCATCACCATCGCCACCAGCACCACCATCATCACTATCATCATCATCATCATCATCATCATCATCATCATCATCATCATCATCATCATCGTCATCATCTTCGTCGTCATCGTCATCGTCATCATAATAATCATCATCCTCATCACGGTCAGCATGATCACCAGCATCAGCATCAGTATCAGCATCAGCATCAACATAATCATCATCATCGCCATCATCATCAACAGCATCATCAGTATCATCAACAGCATCATGCTCATCACGGATCTCCCAAGCCTGGAGACACGATGTGTCACACGTGATGGTTTTTCGTGTCCCCTCGAACAGTCGCCACCCAGAACGCTGGGCTGGCACGATGGCGGGCCTTGCCGCGGGCAGCTGGGTACACCCAAGAGGCCTCCAAGAGGCCCCCCAAAAGGCCTCTAAAGAGCTATCCGCGAGGACTCCGACGCGAAACCCAGAGGGTGACGGGGCGGGCCGACTGCCACTACTGAGATACAGATAACTACGCCGCGGAAGAAATCAAAGCAGGTTGGCACGAGAGCTGGCACCGAGAGCGGTCGGATGCACACCTTCAGAAACAGTTCCTCAGCCAGCAGCGTGGACCTGGATGGCCAGCCTCCGATCGGGGGGCAAGCATGTCCGAAGTCTGGCCGCTTCGAGACGCGACTCATTGGGCATCGCCAAAATCAAACGAGAAGGGGATATCGAGCTCCTTCATCTTTTGTTCGTGAACCTTGTCGAACTTCTCAAGCAAATCCCCGGTGATCTCGTTTCGCCAGCCGCCGGCCTTCCCCTTGGTCAGCAGCGACTGCAGCTGTGAGCCCTCCTTCGACTTCATCTGCTCGAACGACGTCTCGAAGGTCACCTTATCGATCAGCTCCTCCGTGATCTCCACTCCGCACTCGGCAAGGAACTCGGCCACCTTGCGGACCTGCCCCTTCAGGTCGCGCTTCAGGTCCTCGAACACGACCCAGCACACTCCGTCGTTCGACTCCTTGACCTTCCACCAGTCCGCGTACCACGTCCAGAAGCACTTGGGGCCCGGCCCGTGGCGGTCGGGGAAGTCCTGCAGGAACATGTCGAACCACTCGCTGAACTCCCCCTCGTACTCGCAGTTGACCTTCTCCTGCTTCCACATCGAGAGGAGCGCGTCCTTGGGATTCCGGCACACGATCACCACCTTGGCCTTCTTCTTCCCGATACGTTCGACTCCGCCCGTCCAGAGGCATTCGCCCGCCTGCACGTGGGTCTTGAAGACGCTGTTGGGAGGCCTTGGCCACTCGTCCTCGCCTTTGCCGTCATCCTTCCCTTTGCCCTTCTTGTCCTTGTCCTTATCCTTGCCCTTCTTGTCCTTGTCTTTGCCCTTGTCTTTGTCCTTGTCTTTGTCCTTGTCCTTGTCCTTTCCCTTGCCTTTGTCCTTGTCCTTGTCGAACCCAGGGAAGCTCTTGTCCTTGCCCTCGCCATCCTTTCCCTTGCCTTTGTCTTTACCCTTCTCGTCGTCGCCCTTGCCGAGCGCAATCCACTCGATGAACGGGGACTCGAAATCCAGGTTACCTATCTGGGACGCGTCGCCGTTGTACAGCAGACACAGAACGATGTACTGCATCCACGTGGTACCGCACTTCGGGTATGTGCAGACCACGATGTCGCCATCCCAGAGCTCGAAAGGGGGCTCTTCCTGGCAGGGACGGGAACAGGGGGATTCCTCACTCGAACGACGATGAACAGTTGCCGTTCGCATGACACGGCGACCTCACGCGCTGGTCTACGCAGGTCGCTGACGTGGCACGCGAAATGGGCAAGAACAGCGGGCCTGACACGCGACCTCAATGCGCGATCGTCCACGCAATCGGCCGCCCGCTGTTATGTCACTCGCGTTCTAATTTTCAAGATTTGATCAACCGCCTCACACCCTTCCCCGGACCCTTCCCCGCACCCTTCTGAATCAACATGCGTATCACGCCTCGCCCCGCGCATTGGCCGCCTCCTCGTACCTCAAGTATGAAGGGGCCCTGGGACACACAAATAAATACACACAAATCACAGGATTCACCACATGTCCCCATATCTTCTGGGCTTTTGTCTTCCCCCCACTTCCCATACTTTCCCACATTTTCCTGGGGATCGACGATTCATTATGTCTGTGTGTGTCTTTGTCCCTCCTGAGAGTAGGCGGGGCAGGGACTACGGCCGGTAACTGCTGCTTCGCGCGTCGTGGCGGGGGTCCCGGCGACACGCTAGGCCCTAGGCCTTGCAAGCGGAGAACGTGCCGCTCCGCTCCGCTGGGCGGGAGGCTCGGAAATGCTCGGGACGTGCACGGCTGGGGGCTGGGAAGTTGAAGGGGCCCCAGGACACACAAATAAATACACACAAATAAAAAGATTCCCCATATTTTCCTATATTCTCTGTCTTCCCCCCCACTTCCCATATTTTCCCATATTTTCTGGGGAATCGAGGATTAATTGTGTCTGTGTGTTTCTTTTCCTCCTGAGAAGTGGACGGCGTTTCGCGCCGAAGCACGGTGGGCCCGAACCGGCGGCGCGACACGCTGAGCCACCACACGCTCCCGCCCGCAGATGCCGCGAGCCGAACGCCATGTCCGTCGCAGCTCGCCGAGCCCACGGCGTACTCCCTTCCGCGAGCGTCCGCGATCGCGCACGACCCGTGGGCCGATCAAGTGCGCCACCGTTCGGTGGCAACTCACTGGAGCCTCCCGTACCATCTGGTCGGCCCTTGCGAATCGGCGCTCGTCGACGCTAAATCGACGCGACATCCACGCTAACTCACGCTAAATGAAGCTAGTGTGCGCTAAGTCGGCGCTATCCCATCGACGACCCGACGCTGCTCGACGGTCGTGCACTCTGAAGTCGGAGCTGCGAGGGTACACGAGGCTCCCATGATTTGCTACCGAACCACCGTGCCCCGGGCACTGAGTGGCGTGTCCTCAGGCCCTCTAGGTAGGGGAACGAAAAATGGCATAACCATAATTATCCCAGTGCGACCCTAGCAACATTAGTAGGAGCGGTAAGCGCCGTCCTCCTCCTCTTCCTCATCGTCGTAGTTGTAGCAGTAGCGGTAGCAGTAGTAGTAGTAGTAGTAGTAGTAGTAGTAGTAGTAGTAGTAGTAGTAGTAGTAGTAGTAGTAGTCGTAGTCGTAGTAGTAGTAGTCGTAGTAGTCGTAGTCGTAGTCGTAGTCGTAGTCGTAGTCGTAGTCGTAGTAGTAGGCGTAGTCGTAGTCGTAGTAGTCGTCGTAGTAGTAGTAGTAGTAGTAGTAGTAGTAGTAGTAGTAGTAGTAGTAGTAGTAGTAGTAGTAGTAGTAGTAGTAGTAGTAGTAGTAGTAGTAGTAGTAGTAGTAGTAGTAGTAGTAGTAGTAGTAGTAGTAGTAGTAGTAGTAGTAGTAGTAGTAGTAGTAGTAGTAGTAGTAGTAGTAGTAGTAGTAGTAGTAGTAGTAGTAGTAGTAGTAGTAGTAGTAGTAGTAGTAGTAGTAGTGTAGTCGTAGTAGTCGTAGTAGTAGTAGTAGTAGTAGTAGTAGTAGTAGTAGTAGTAGTAGTAGTAGTAGTAGTAGTAGTGTTAGTCGTAGTAGTAGTAATCGTAGCCGTAGTCGTCGTAGTAGTGGTAGTCGTAGTAGTAGTAGTAGTAGTAGTCGTAGTAGTAGTAGTAGTAGTAGTAGTAGTAGTAGTAGTAGTAGTAGTAGTAGTAGTCGTAGTAGTAGTAGTAGTAGTAGTAGTAGTAGTCTAGTGGTAGTGGTAATGGTAGTGGTAGTGGTAGTGGTAGTGGTAGTAGTAGTAGTAGTAGTAGTAGTAGCAGAAGTTAGTAGTCGTACGCAGCAGCAGCAGCAGGCAGAGACAGCAAGCAGTAGTAGTAGTAGTAGTAGTAGAGTAGGTAGTTAGTAGTAAGTAGTAATAGTAGAGTAGTAGTAGTAGTAGTAGTAGTAATAGGTAGTAGTAGTGTGTAGTAGTAGTAGTAGGAGAAGGTAGGTTTCGTAGTAGTAGTAGTAGTAGTAGTAGTAGTTAGTAGTAGTAGGTAGTTAGTCGTAGTAGTAGAATAGTGATAGTACTAGTCGTAGTAGTAGTAGTTAGTAGTAGTAGTAGTAGTAGTAGTAGTAGTAGTAGTAGTAGTAGTAGTAGTACGTAGTAGTAGTAGTAGTAGTAGTTAGTAGTAGTAGTAAATAGTGATAGTAGTGGTAGTAGTATTAGTAAGTAGTAGTCGAGTAGTAGTAGAAGTAGTAGTAGTAGTAGTAGTAAGGAGGAACGCGACAGAAGATTAGTAGCAGCAGCAGCAGCAGGAGTAGTAGTAGTAGTAGTAGTAGTAGTAGTAGTAGTAGTAGTAGTAGTAGTAGTAGTAGTAGTAGTAGTAGTAGTAGTAGTAGTAGTAGTAGTAGTAGTAGTAGTAGTAGTAGTAGTAGTAATAGGAGTAGGAGTAGTAGTAGTAGTAGTAGTAGTAGTAGTAGTAGTAGTAGTAGTAGTAGTAGCAGCGCCAGAGCCGCCGACGCCACGCCGTAAGTGAAGCAGCAGCAGAAGCAGGCAGCAAGTCGCCGAGACAGCAGCAAAAGCAAGCAGGCACGGAGATCAGGGCGGGGCACTGGGGAGTTCTATTCATCTACATCTATATCTATACCTACATCAACATCGACACCTACATCTACATCTAGATCTACATCTACATCTACACCTACAGCTACATCTACACCTGCACCTGCATCTACATCTACATCTACATCAACAGCGAGACTCACATATACATCTACATCTACATCTACATCTACATCTACACCTACATCTACATCTACATCTACATCTACACCTACATCTACATCTACACCTACACCTACATCTACATCTACATCTACATCTACACTTTCGCATTGGTTTTGCTTGTGATTTGCATTGCCTTTGCTGCTGCGCTATGCTATGCTATGCTATGCTATGCTATGCTATGCTGCGCAATGTTATGCTGGGCTAGGCTAGGCTAGGCTAGGCTAGGCTATGTTATGCTATGCTATGCTATGCTATGCTGCGCTATGCTGCGCTATGCTATGCTTTTGCTTTGCCTTCGCTTTTGCGCGCAGCCGGGGGAACCGCGCGTTTGCTTTTACCTTTGCTGTTGCTTTTGCTTGGCTCCCAGGGGACTGGGGGAACCGCCCGGGGCGGGTTCCACTGCCCGGCCCCTTTAAGCTAAGAGAGTAAGAACCCTTCTAGGCAGAGCCGCGCATTTCTCGGATCGGCGCTGGAACCCCCTCCCTGGCGCGGATTTCTCGGATCGGCGCGCGGATTTCTCGGATCGGCGCGGATTTCTCGGATCGGCGCGGGGAAAACGCAAAGATCCGCGCGGATTTCTCGGATCGGCGCTGGAACCCCCTCCCTGGCGCGCGGAGCGCGCCAGGGGCGCCGCCGGAGGCGCCGCCAGGGGTGTCCAGCGCGGATCCGAGAAATCCGCGCGGACCTCCGAATTGTTATGTTTATGCCAGTTTTCGTCCCCCAACCTAGAGCTCTCGATCTAGGGCACGTGCCGAGCATTGCCGAGCCTCCCGCCCAAGGGAGCGGAGTGACAGGCCATCCGCGCAGAAGGGTTGGTGATGAGCGGGGAGCATGCAAACGGCGAGTGGGAGCAAGGATAACGTCGAGGGCGCGCAAAGATGGATTCGCGATCCATGGATTTGGCGCGCGGTCGCCAAATCCATGGATCGGGGGACGTGCCCTCCCCAAAGTGCGGCCGGTGCCGCCTCGCTCGGCGGCGGCAATCCGCGATTTCCGATGGAAACTGGACCCGTCGCTAATCCACGTCTCTTAATCCATGTTTGCGATCGCCTGATAATGGATGTGGGGCGAGGGAGGAAAGGAGGAGAATGGATGGATAACCTCATGGTGCAGTACACCTCCCGCCCCATGCCCCCTCCCGAAATGCCCCTTCAGGCACCTTGTTCACTGCGGAAGCGTCCCCTCGACTGGTGAGAATCTCATGGGCATGTTGCAGTAGGCTCGTGCGGCGTCGGCGCGGGCAAAGGTTTTTGACACCGCTTCGATCGCTCGACCTTGAATCGATCGCGGCCCCGATCGTTCAAGGCTGAATTCCGTCGGGTCCAATCCCTCGGTGCTTCCGCGTCACAGACTTCAACGTTGAACGCCTTCGCCAGCGTCGTTGGCGCGCCAACGCCGCACGACCCTACCGTATTCAGGCGAGACCCCGCATTGACAAGGATACGCCTTCCAACCACAAGATACCTGAAAATCAAAAATGCATGATCATCAACGTCAAGGCGCGGCCCGAAGTCAACCCGATTGTGAACACGAGCCACCCGCCATCTACATAATCATTGTACGCTGTTTGCCTCGGCTGACGATCCAGAAGAATCCCGTGCGGGAGCCCATCTTAATCACCCTGGCGACGTACCCAACCCTTGCGCAATGCGGGGCATAAGTACATCAGGATTGCTACAACGGGGGCGATGATGTAACATGGGCGCATGTGATTTTGCGAGCAGCAATCGGAAGGCTCACAGGCCCCCGATCAAGAGCTAAGGGCTACGTAATGACAAATCACCCCCGTTGGCTGTGCCATGCGCCCGTTGCACCCAACGTATCCCACAGCAGCTCTTGAGAGCCCCCGCGGGATACGTGTAGGCGCAACGTTATGGCCATCACCCAGCAGATGGTCTGTTTCACAAATCACCCCCGTTCGC